GGGGGGGGGGGGGGGGGGGGGGGGGGGGGTTGGATACTGGGGAAAGCTTGCTATTTGTCTTTGATTTTGATGTTCAATTGCGCGAAATGTCTGGGTTACGGGACTTAGAGGATAATTTTTTTAATACATAATTGACTGTGGATATATGGATATATAGGAGATAATCTGATGGTGATTACATATGAACATGGCAGTAAAAGGAGGTGGCAACCGAAAGAGAAGGAAAGGGGGGCGAGGGTGAAATTTGACGAAGGCTGTAAGAAGGAGGTGAAGAGGGTATTATAATTGGTTGGGCTGTGTTTTTGGTTGGAAGTGGCGAATACATACAATTTCTGCTCATTGCTACCTGTTGGCCACTCAATTTCGGTCATCGTTCCTTTCGAATCGTGTTTTTAGAAAAAACTTTCGTTTAGCGTCACTTATCATTTTCATCTTCCTGGCCTCTAAAACGTAGTTGTCTTACATGTTTTTTTATATCTCACCACTTTCTAAACGCTTTGGAAAAAATTTTCTGCAGCCACTGCAAACGAAAATTCTTGTCAAAATTAAGCGTTTTGTCCTTCGTTTTATTTACTTTTGTTTTTATTTGGTGGAAGTTTAGTAGCAGTTTTGAGATCTTTGAAGCTTTTTGCATTTTATTTCAATTTGTTGTCTATAGCTTTTTTTTTCTGATTGTAGAGCATTGGTGAGTATTGCTGTCTGTTTTTTATGACACTTTTCCTAAATTTCTTATTGGTGCAGTTCTCAATCAGGTTCTTATTTGCTGTATATCCTTTTTGCTAGTTTGGAATCAACAACTGCTATCGAATCGTTTTTATTTTCAAATTTTGGTTTTCCCTTATATTTTTGTACTTCATAATTTTTTTTTTTTAAATTTTTATAAAGTCTTTTGAATGTTCAGTTTTTTTTGTCTTCTACATTTATTTTTCTACAGGTTATTCAAGCGTTCTTTTATCGTCTTTCTCAGGCTTTGGGTGCTTGTCAGTAGCAGTTTTGAGGCCATATATTGATCTCATCTTTCAGCAGTGTTATATTAATAAAGAATTGTAGTTTGGCATTTAATTCGACCGAAATGCATAAATTCTGTGTAAGCGCGTATTCGCCGTATAAACATTAAATTATAACTTGTTATTCATCCCATACATTTTTATGGCATTTTTATGTGTTTAGTTTTACATGCAGTGTTGAGAGTTTTATTCTCCATTTCTCTCTATCTTTTCGTGTAGGTCAACATTATACTTGAAGAGTTTTGTTGTTTTCATAAGGTAATAAAAAAAATATAGTATCCTGGAAATTCAGATGGCGTTTCGTCGACCAGTTATGCTTATTTTGTTGATTTCTTGTTTTCGTCGATTTCTGGTTGACAGGTTTTATTATTAATTTAACTTGCAGAAAACATTTTTTGACAAGTCAGGTCTTGCAGGGTCATTTAAATAATTGCTGCTCTTCTGTGTTCTCACCTGCAGCTTTCGAATAGATGAACTTTTACCAGTGCATTGTAAGCAAGAAATACGTTAAAAGATCACCTAGTTTAAAGAGATGATTGACAGTTTTGACATTTTTGGCAGCTGGTCATAAACGATAATTCCGCTTTATTTACTATTATTTGAAGAACCTGGGAGTACGTAAAATTTTTGGTTTTCAAAGGCAATTTTTCTCTGTTTTAAAGATCGTTTGGTTCATGCATATGCTATGATTAAGCATTTTAATTTTGTTCTGTGCATTGATACAATTCACATGTTAATGCACAATCTTATTGCTTGCTGACAAATTTTTAAACACTAGAACGCCATTTTGAAAGAAGTTTTTTTTTTTGTGTCGCTCTGTTTCGCTGAGAGGCTTCAAATTTATTTAAGTACCTGTTTTTTCTTTGGGACTGGAATGAGAAAACAAGTACTGCAGTAAACTGGCAGCTGAATTTAGGTTTTTGTATCGTTCATCAGTTGCTTATATTCAGTGGCCGGCTGTGGCACCGAAGAGGCACAGTTCTTGATATTATTTTTTCATTTTTCTGACGTTTTTCCTCTTTTATCAGTTCCTGGCTTGTAAAGTTTATTTTGCTTATCGGCAGTCTCGCTTTGGTTTTGATTTTTGTGTTGCTTATACGTTTGTGCTGCTTATACGATGTGCGGTATACTACTTCATTACGGCTTTAATCTAATTAAATAGGAATTTTATGCAGTTCTGACGCAAGTTTTATTTGCATTTTGATATTTCCTTTGATTTAAGAAGATCTAATTTTAACAGTGAATAATTGAGGGGAAAAGTGTTTAGTTTACTTTTTGTCACTTTTACTGCAGAACTAGATTGTCTGGGGTTGTCGGACCAGGCAGATGTAAAAAATTATATTTTTATTGCGCATTAGTTGATTTTAATTAAAGCCATTTAAATCTGCGCCCGTTTTTTTTTTTTTTTTTTTCGTTTGATACAGCTTTAAAAGCTAACTTCTTTTTGAGAGCGGAGTGTCGTCAGTGAGTGGGCTACTCTTCTATACTTTAATTTGTCTCTGTTCTTCCGCATTTTTGCACAAAAGATTTCGCAAAATTTTTTCATCACTAGTATTTTGTGTTCTGTTGCTGTTTGCAATCCTAAAATTTAGCAGTTTTTAATCACTGGTTACGTCTGTAAAAGCTGTAGATATAGCATTACTAAGGCTTTCTTCGCTCTTGGTTTACTGAATTAGTTTTTTCCAATTGTATTAGAAGGCGCATACACTTTTCGAACCATGTACCCCCTGCTGTGATTCGTACACCAACACTATTTTCTAAGGGCGCATGCTATTTAAATCACTTAAATCAATTTTTTACTTTACTTTTCAAAAAAAATAGTTTCTATAAATTTTCATTTTTGTTTCCCTTTTTCAAAAAGTTATATTTTTAGACTTTAATATGTTGAATTGTTCATTTTCAACGAATTCGTAAAATCTTGCATTTTTTTTTTTTTGATTTTGTTATCTATCTGGTGTTTTAATCTTATCATGTTTGATCTTACAAATCTTTTTAGTTGTTTCTCTTTTGAAAGGTTGAATTCTAAACCCGAATGGAATGATTCACGGATGATGTAGTATAAGTTCAAAAATTTTATGGACATTAAGCGTTTTCTACGGCTTGGTGAAATGGCTTGTTAGTGTGTCTTCACTTTTTTTGTTGTTTTTATTTTCTGTTCTTATCATAACTTTCTTATTTCTTTACTTGTGATTCACTTTACAATTTTTCAGTTTATTTGTCATTTGTTATTCTACCTCTTCTGTCTTCGGCTTTTGGGAGAAGAAATGTAATGAGTTAACTTCTTTTCATATTCTAGATGATTGTGATTTTAAAGGCGACATGACTTGGTTTGAGTGTTAAACGCAGTAAACACAGAATTCTGCTCGCTGATTTGTACAGTGAAAAAGAAGGGGATCTGTTTTCATGAATAGACTACAAAAACGATGGGCTTCTGAATCGCCGTCATTGCAAACCGCCATAATCTGAGATTATATTTTAATAGTTGCTTGCTACTAGTGTTTATGGGAATGGTTTTCTGAGCAGGGGTCTCTCCAGATAGGAATGGCGTTTTTATTACAAAACATTGAAATTTAGACGCACTTTCAGTTTTTTTCAGTTTAGAAAGGGGCTTGGTTATTGCTTGCTTTTCTGGTCCTAGCTTTTTAGAGGCCAAGAGGAGCTTTTTTTTATTCTTTTTCTTCTCTGTTTTCCTTCTTTTTAGTTGAGATTTTTATTTTTTAAATTTAATTTTTCATTTATTGTTTGACTAGTCTCCAGAGTTGGAGATTCTATGAGGAAATTTAAAGCTTGGCTGATAAAGTTTCAGAAGGATGTTAGACTTCTATCTGTCAGTCAAAGCTTTGTTTAACTTTTGAATTTGATAACGCCCGCTGGGTTAAAAAGCTTGGGTGAATAAAACAAAAGTGTCGATTTATGTGCAGTAAATACGACTTGCACAACTAACTTGAATTCTACAATTTTTATTTTTGTATGCCAAAATTTTTGTTTTTTTAAACTATTTTAAGAGATTTTTTGCTGGTTTTGAGCGTAAACATTGTTAGTTTTCCTTCTTGTTCTAAAACTGTAAGTTATTAGATGATCTTATATATAAGACTTGTTTTATATAAAATTTTAACATATTTCTAGTTAAATTCGACTCTTAAGTGGCTTCTAAAATTATGTATTTGCTGCAACTGGTAGTAGTTTTGCTTACTTTCTGTGCTAGTTATTTGTGCGAATACGGCACAGCAATTTTCGTTTTACTGTTTCAAGTGGACGTGATTTTTCGCTTATATTTGGAAGTGATTACAATGAGTTTTATGATTTTAAATTTTGAATTTTTAACATAAACAAGTTTAATTGCTAAGAATATCATCAGGATGTCAGTTTGTACGTACCGGACTAGACACGGAGTTCGTGGTTACTTATATCACTCTAAAAGATCTGCCCAGTTCAGTTGGTCCAGCATTGCGCTCAAGAGTCTTTGTATGATAAGCTTCCAAGATTTCAGCAGCATTGCTAATTTTTTTGTGTTTTAAATTACCAATGTTGCTAAAGTACTAATTAGTTGGGGAAGAAAAATGTGATAAATTTTTAACTTCAACTTAATTACTACTGTTAGTGTGGAGTTTGATTGAGCAATTTTTCAATTTACTTTTTTTCTTAATTTTTATCATTTGGACCTTGCAGCAAAACTTTTAAAAATGATAATAGGCGTGGTGAGAGGTGGTTTCAAAAAATCTTTGTATAATGACATTTTTTGGCAATAACGAGAAGATATCGCGCATTTTGTAGTATTCATCTTGAGCTTTTCAGCAGAAGTTTCTGGAGCAAAAACTAAAGGAGTTGTTTCTAAGGAAGTACCAGAAAATTCTACACCTGAGGCGCCCCTGGTAACTGCGAAACAGGGTGGAACTTCTAGTTTACCAAAAACTCAACAGTCGTACGGAACAGTGGAAGATACTGATGCTTCGGCTGTAGATTTGCCTTCGGTTTCTTCGTCTTTCGCGGATAAGCCAGTTTCACAGGAAACTCAGAGAAAAAGTCTAAGCTCTAAGTTTTTTGAAAGCAAGGGTCAAACTAAAGTCAAGAATGACACTTCGGATGTGTATCATGAACAGTCGCTGAGTATTATAACTAGAAGGCCGAAACCGTACGGTGATGATGCTACAGAAATCTCTGAGGTAGTTTTTATGTTGCCTAAGTTATAATTATGCTGTGGTGTTCTTTTGTATGACTGTCATTTTTTTGGATAGAATTTTATAAGCTTCTTCTGGTTTTACGGTTTTCTCGCTTTAGAAATCACCAGATTTCGCTTGTGCAGTTTCTTCATCGGATGAGGAGACTGAAGAGTTGCTATCTGTTTCGACGTCCAACACTGTGACGGGAGTCGTGCAACGAGGCGGAAATGTGGCAGCAATTTCGGAAAAATTTTCTAGACAGGTTCTAATTTAAGATTTCCTCTATGTCAAAATCCATTTTAAAAGGATGCCTGTCGTTGTAAATTTTGGAATTTACATCTACTTGGAAACGAAAAGATTGAGTAATTTTAATAAATGTTAGGGTTTGCTGAAGACAACTTTGCTGCTGTCTAATTTCAGTGACTATTTGTTGTACTTTTTAGCAAATTATGGACGATGATAACTCGTACCAAAATAGACCTACGTCCTTCCCACCTTACATGGTAATAGCATTTACCCTTTTTTTTAATATTCGTAGTTTTTTGCTTCTGGGTATTCTGAAACATACCATTTTAGACAATCACTGCTGGTGATGGTAACCCCGTAAGGCATTCGCTGATTAGTTTAGTTATGGAAGAAGACGTTCCTTTATTGATGGAAGCTATGGCTGAGAAAGTGCATTTTTATTATTATATTGATTCAATTTAATATCATCTTTCAAATTGTTCTCTGAATAAAAATTACGGAAGATGATTTTGGAAAGTTTTAACTGCTATATTGCCTTCAAAGTAAGTGCTTTGTTGATTTCAGCTTGATTTCGAATTTGAAGACGTTGCTTCTGTCCCCTCTAGTTCATCTGACGGTATTATTCGCAACCCAACATCTGCTCAACGAAAGAAGCAACGCGCTGTCGGTTCTTAATAAAATTTTTTGTGTTATTGCTTATAGCCTCAAGATTTTGTGACATTTTTAGATTTTACGGATTGGGTTTTCTAATTTGCCTCCAGCTGTGTTTTCTTATCCTGATGAAGCAACAGCCACCGAGTTTTCTGAATGGCATCCGGGAGAAGATATTACTTTTGAGGAATATCAGCAGATTTGTGAAGAGTAAGTTTTAAGTTTTTCTGTTTGATGTCGTACTTGCATTCGACTTTAGTAACTACTAAAGCTTTGCGATTTTGTTATTCTCATTTTTGAAGAGAGCGGCAGAAGTACGAAGAAAGGTTGGAGGCAAGCAAGTGGCAAACTTCGTTTATTACAAACGGTGGCAATGAGACGGGTTCATTATGTATGAATTTAGTTGTATTATCAGTATTAGTTAAAGCATTAGTATAAACTATATGTGTAATTTTTGCTTGTATGATCTTATCTTACTTTTTATCTTCTCATCAGTGTCTATACAGTTTAACTCATATCATTGCGTGATTTAGTGAGTGTACTTGAACAGCCAACTGTCAGTGATTTTGCACTTGGAGTTACAAGTCGTATCTCTTATGCATCGACTCCACCTTATAGTTCAAACACTAATTTTGGAGCAGCAAACGTGTAAGGAGTTTCGTTTACGTTTATTCGGTAAAAAGTTATTTTAAATTGTGAATGTCTTTTTCATTTATCGATTTTGTTTCAGCTCGCTTATCGCCGGTAAATGATCTCGAAATAACTTCCTCATTGTTATATTATTATTTTTTACCATATTTTTAAGTTTGGAACTTATTTCTCGTATATTGCTGTGCTATCCATCTAGTTTTTATAAGGCTTATTTAGTTTTCAAATTAAATTTATTTGCTTTAATGCGTCAATTAATCAAAACGTCGATGTTACAGTTCCAGTTGTTTTCTGCGCTATATTCTAAATGTCTGCTTTATTTTTTTTTTTAATAATCTATTAGTATTTATCAATTTTATATCTGTTCATTTAGCTTATCATTTATCTTTTGTTATAATAGGCCTCTTGTGAAGCTCAACTTCGTTTTTTTTTTTCGCCGTTTTACAGGAATTTCTATTTCTTTTATTGATATGGCTTCGTGACTTTATCTCTTTTAAATCATAATGTTACTTGTCTGTATCTGTAGAATCTTGATGTGGAACAAGTGTACTTAATCCAGTGACGTTATAAAATCTTTTGTAAATTTGCTCTTTTTCGCATCTTAAGAAACTGCTGGACGGTTGTGCGATTGCTGAACAATTTTTTTTGCAGTTATCCGATCTAACTGATTTTGTTTTGCCCTTTTTTGGTCCCCTTTTTTTTTTCTGCTGTACTGTGGAAGGATGAGGGTTTTAGCAGTGAATTTGCTTGTAATTCAAACCTTAACGACTTCTTGTTGGGATTCTTATTACCAACGCTTTGTTCACTGGATTTCAGCATGTTAGGATCTGCATTTTAGACGCTTCAAGTCTACCAAAAAGTGGTGTTGTTAACTCCAAAACTTGGTGTGAATAAACAGTAAACTGATCTTCATGCAACATGAATGGTTACAAACAAGTTACTTTTTGAAACAATTTATTTTCTATAGTAGGTTGGTTTTTTTTGTCAAAATTTGACTTTTTCAAATGTAACAAACGTCTTATTGTTTAGGCTGTTCCATTACTTTTTTTTTTTCAAGTTTTGCTGTTACACTTACAGTGAATCGAGGCTCTTTTCAGATTCACTTACCTTTTCAGTCATACTACGCGAGTAGTGAGCGTAGGTCTTGCAAGTATTTCTCACAATAAAGTTCCGTTGCTGTTACGACTGTATGGTGTTGCTCAAAGAAATACTAACTGTTATCAATAGTTCGTTTTTGCCGGTTTTTGCTTATTTGAAACTAGAGTGCAAAAAGGATGAATTGGGAGAAAAAATAGTACGGGATTGATGTCTATTTACAAGGACTGGTGGTTGAGACGTCTTGTTAAAAGACTCGACCTTGATCATTTGTTTACAGATGCAGTATTATCGATTTATCATTTTGACAGCAAAGGAATTTTTTAGCACTTTACGAAGCGACGTTTTCACACTTTATTGTTTTTGCATTTACGCTTTTTTTTTTTTTGTCTGCAAAAAGAGAATTTTTAAATAGTTGCTCAGGCTAGATTTTGTGCTTTATTTTAGAGTCTTAGTATCTTA